CTTCCCGGACTGGGGCACAAACCCCCGTCCCCGGCATCGGCAGGCGGACTCTTAACCACTGTGCCACCAGGGAAGCCCTCCATGATTTCTTAAAGGAAATTATACAATTGAACTCCTAATGAGAATTTACTGTCCTGAGTTAAGAGTGGGTAGACTTTCCACTTCTTATCAAGACAATTAGTGAAACCTATCAAAATATTTTTACATCATTATTTATGCATAATTAATGAAGCACTTTTATTATCTTGTAATGGTGTTTCCTGGGTATACACAAATGACCTGTTTCAATATACTGTTTTTACAGCACTAAAGACAAGCTTGGGCCAATTCATTTTGCCTAAAATTGTCATGTTGAATCTGTCAGTTAAATTTTCCTCATTGACTGCTCACCACTGACACACTGTAAAAGTCTCAGCATTTGTCTGCACCATTAAGCTTTATATTTTTAAATGTCAAATGCTTGTCAGGGAGCTTGAAAGACAGTAGAACATGATGGAACAGGGCATGGACTCCAGAGCCAAAAGGCTAGATTTTTAAATTAATTCGGTCTTTTCTTCTTGCTAGTTGGGTGACCTCCAGTTGGCTTGGGTGTAAAATACTAGTACCTACATCACAGGATTGTTATGAGAATTAAATACATCAATACCTTTAAAGCCGTGAGAGCAGTGTGTCGGCACACATAAAACATTTAGCAAGTGTTAGCTCTTATCAGTAGTCTTTAAGCATCATGTGAATTGCAGGGCACTTCTAATTAGGCTGATCATGGGAACAGAGTCATTTGTTTTCTGGTGTCTTAGCAGGGGTTAAATTTAAAAGCTGGGCCACAAAAACAAGGTTAACCTCTTTCTCACTTCTTGAAACTGTACTACTTGCATTTTTTCAGTGTCTGGGCCCCTAAAGTCTCTTCATTCCCCTTCAGTGCTACTATCTAGGAGCAACAAAAGATGCGGCCACAAAGATCCTAAGTGAGGTCACTCGCCCAATGAGTGTGCACATGCCTGCTGTGAAGATTTGTGAGAAGCTAAAGAAGATGGACAGTCAGATCTGTGAGCTGAAATATGGTATAACGGAGTCAATTGTTTTTTTCCCCAAATGTCCAGCATACTGCCAATTCTGTAAACATAGGGCCAGTTTCTAAAAAGTCAGTGTTAGAAAGAAAGAAGTTCTACACTTGCTAATAGGGTGCTGGACTGCTGTGTGGTGCCTAGTGCCATCTGAACTTCTTGGGGGAAGAGAAATGAATTCTGGCACAGTCAGCGTTAGGTAAAACTGCCCACCCAAATGGCAAAGCTTAACCTCTTAAATCACCAAGGCGTTGTCAACTACATATGTCAAGGAAGAGTTCAAAACTTCAAGGGAGCAGCTACTCGTGGTGAATTAGCTCTTGGTAACCTATTAAGACAAAAGCTGCATCTATTCAAAGGTGATGTAAGGACTCTGAAGTTTTAAATGGGACTCTAACGTTCTTCCTAGAGCTATCATTCTGCCAGCTTTAACCTATTTTTAGGAAATAGGTTATTCACATCAAAGCAGGTTTTACCTGATGAAATAGCCTTATCAAGGGTGCCTAAAATAAACAGCCAGAAAAGGAAGATGTCCTATTTAAAACATTATCCTTGGCCTTATAAATTTTACATACATAGATCTATTCTTATACAGAGGATTTGTATCTGGGCCAGTCTTTTGGGTAGATTGATTAGGTATCATAAAAGGCTGGAGGGGGACTTCCCTGGTGGCCCAGTGGTTAAGAGTCTGTGCTCCCAGTGCAGGGGGCCAGGGTTCAATCCCTGGTCAGGGAACTAGATCCCACATGCCAAAACTAAAGATCCCGCATGCTGCAAGGAAGATCCTGAGTGCGCAACTAAGACCCGGTGCAGCCAAATAAATAAATAAAATAAAAGGCTGGGGGATTCCCCACTTAGCCTATCCTAACACCTGTAATTCCACCAGTAGAAATCCATTTCTTTTGCTTATGTCATTGTTTTATGTTACATACCTGGCATAGTCTTGTAAACTACCTAAGTAATTAGCACCCAACTCTGAATTACTTTAGTCTTATTTTCCAGCATAGCTGTGTAATAAGCCTATGCACCATAGCTACACAGATGTCTTTAAATAGGTTTAAGGTCAGAAGATACCAAAGACAAACTGTTTCTCAAATGGCCAAGGGCAGGCCCTAACTTGCAGGGTGGTGATGAGGCAGATGTTTCTTTTTATTGGCTTCCAAGTAATGAAGTAGAGGCAGGAAGCACTGAGTCCATATAAACAATAGCCCCCAAAGGGACAAAACTGTGCTGATTGTTCCATTCAACAAATTTCTTTTGAATAGCTTTTACTATGAGCAAGGGATCTTACTGGAATCCTTGAATAATGGAAAAATTAATCAGATATTATTGAGAAGAAGAGAGTACTTATTAATGTTTTGGCAATGCTGGCCACTAGAGGCCCTTGGGGAGCCATGGACTAGATTTACTGTTGGTATTGACCTTTTCCCTGTAGTTTTAGGGAGTCACAGAGGATTTCCCCCTTTTAAAGTTAATGCCAAATGCCAAATCCTCCAGAATAACCTGAAGAAACTACCAACACTTGCAAGAAAGTATTTTCTTCCTTCAACCATTTATCTTGAATAGACCACTAGTTCTAAATTCTTCCCAGCTTATATTTGGCAGGAAAGTTGAGACTGAACCGGGGCCTTTGAGCTGTGTAGTATTAATAATTTGGGCTATAAAAGTTTCTACTCCTAAAGGTATTTTGTCATGTCAGGCAGGAAATTAACAGACAAGATAAGTGTAGACTTGGATTATGTTTTCAATTAGGAAGGTGTTATTTGGTTTTTGACCTGAAAGAATGTTTTCACTTGCTCTGTTTTTTATTTTTATTTATTTATTTATTTTTGTCTGTGTTGGGTCTTCGTTGTTGCACGTGGGCTTTCTCTAGTTGCGGCGAGCAGGGTCTACTCTTCGTTGCAGTGCACGGGCTTCTCATTGCGGTGGCTTCTCTTGTTGTGGAGCACGGGCTCTACGTGCGTGGGCTTCAGTAGTTGTGGCACACAGGCTCAGTAGTTGTGGCTCGCGGGTTCCAGAGCACAGGCTAAGTAGTTGTGGTGCGTGGGCTTAGTTGCTCTGCGGGATCTTCCTGGACCAGGGCTCAAATCTGTGTCCCCTGCATTGGCAGGTGGTTTCTTAACCACTGCACCACCAGGGAAGCCCTTTGCTCTGTTTTTTAAAAGAATGGAAATCACTATTAAAAAATGTAAGGATTCTCTGGAGCAGAGTGTAGCTGACCCTCCAACTAAAAAAGCCTTTAAAATCCAACTTTTATTTATTTATTTCCAGCTTTTACTGAGATGTAATTGACATATAACAGTGTGTAAGTTTAAGGTGTACAATGCATTGACTTGATATACCTCTATCTTGCAATATGATTACCATGTTAGCTAACAGCTCCATCATATCACATAATTACCGTTTCTTTTTTTGTGATGAGAATATTTAAGATCTACTCCTTAGCAACTTTCAAATATGTAATACAGTATTTATTTATTTTTTTTGCGGTATGCGGGCCTCTCACTGTTGTGGCCTCTCCCGTTGTGGAGCAACAGGCTCCGGACGTGCAGGCTCAGCGGCCACGGCTCACGGGCCCAGCCGCTCCGTGGCATGTGGGATCTTCCCGGACCGGGGCACGAACCCGTGTCCCCTGCATCGGCAGGCGGACTCTCAACCACTGCGCCACCAGGGAAGCCCATGTAATACAGTATTCTTAACTATAATCAACAATTTGCTATTCTTCCTCAGGATTGCTTTGGCAATTCAGGGTGCTTTGTCATTCCATACAAATTTTAGGATTTTTTTTTTTCTATCTCTGTAAGAAGTGCCACTGGCATCCTGGTAGGGATTGCATTGGCTCTCTAGATTGCTTTGGATGGTATGGACATTTTAACAATACGAATTCTTCCAAACCATAAACACAGGATCTCTTTCCATTTGTTTGTGTCTTATTCAATTTCTTTCATCAAAGTCTTGTAAGTGTTCTGTGTATAGATCTTTTACCTCCTGATTAAATTTATTCCTAAGTCTAAAATCCAACTTTTAACTTAGGGTACACTGACTGGAAGTTCTGATAAATCACTTGACGACTATGTTAGGTTATTAAAAGGCTTTTAAATGCCATGTTCTACTATTTAGGAAAAAAAAGGAGTGCTTCAAGAGGTCAAGCTAAAGAAGTCCTAGGCTGCCACTAATTGTAAAATAAGTCAACTTAAACGCTGTAACTATGTTCAAGCACACCCCTGGTGGTGAGGAAGGGGGAAGGAGATTTTCCTTCGAAAGAGAAAAATTGCCCCTTTCTCATGGGGAAATCAGAATCACAAGTATATTATAGATGAGCTTAATTATTTTTCTATTTTTGGGCTCGGCAATAGAGAAGTAGCTGAGTTCTTGACAGCCTTTGCAGATAATCTGTAAACAGGGAAACAATAGTCTTGCTAGAGGAGTTAGATGTTGGTGACAGGTATTACTGGCAAGAATGTTAGGTGCCAGATTGGCTGGTACCAAGGCACCAGCATTAGAGAGGTGGCTGTACCCCCAAAGGTCTGTCAATAAACCCTGTGATGATTTGGGAATCCCAGTAGGGGTGGAGGGGTCAGGTGAGTTTAAGCAGAGATCCAAAACAATTAAGGATCAGTGATAATGCTCCTAATTTTCTTCATGTGTTTGGGTTTCTTTACATTTGTATTTAAAAACTAGTTTAAATTCTTTAGATTGTATTTAAATTCTTTAAATTTGTATTTAAAAACTAATTTGTATTAGGGCTTTGTAATATGTGTGCTCATCTGTTTTACCACAGACATATCTCATATAAAAGTGAATCGTAACTTTCTAGCTAATTACAATCTATGGCTTTCAGTTGGCCGCACACACAGGGCCATCCCAAGGTACCGCCTTTTATTGATTCCGTTCTTCTCACCTTAGGAGCAGCAATTAGGATGCAGTGCTATTTGTTTTATGAACATTGATCTTGAGAAGCCATGGAGTGGTAGCAAAGACTGCAGAGCTACACAGGCCCTGTTTTGAAGCGAGTATAATTCCACGGAAAGAAAGTCCAACAGATCATGAGTTATCCCGATAGCTTTGCATATGATACATTTTTCTTAGGTATGTCCTGTTTTCCATAGACACGGGAACTGTTCCCCACTTTGAATCACGGGGTAGTCAGCACCAAGATAAGTAACACTATTTGCTTTTATAAGTGTTTCATAGTTGGTTTTGCTTTTTAAAAATTGTGCTTTTTCCTTTTTTGTCATGAAGAAAAAAAATTGGATTTGGCATCAGTGGACCTGTCCAAGATGAGAGTAGCAGAGCTGAAACAGATACTGTACAGCTGGGGGGAAGAGTGCAGGGCCTGTGCGGAAAAAAACGACTATGTGAATCTCATCAAAGAACTGGCACCCAAGTACACAGCGACGTACCCCAAAACAGAACTCTGACCCCCGGAAGCCGGTGAACCACTGATTGTGATTAGAGACAAAATACCTCTCTAGGATACGGACGCGTTTGTTGAGAGGAACCAGGAATTGCAGTGTGTGTGGTCTCAGACTTCTTGTTTTGATAGTACACCTCAGAATTGGTTACCTGGGTTTATAAGTAGAACTGCTAGTATTAGTGGTTTCTTAAATCTGCAGTGTACCAAAACCTACAAGTGCCTTTCTCATGATTTTCTTGTATGTGAGTTACCATTGCCTATCTCCTAAAACGGGGAAAAGTGAACCACTGAAAAATCGGTGTAGTAAATTGATTCTAAGCAGGAAGAGAGTGCTCAGAGGCTCCTATGTGTGCACTAATTTTTTTTTAGCGGTACGCGGGCCTCTCGCTGTTGTGGCCTTTCCTGTTGCAGAGCACAGGCTCCGGACACGCAGGCTCAGCGGCCATGGCTCACGGGCCCAGCCGCTCCGCGGCATGTGGGATCTTCCTGGACCGGGGCACAAACCCGTGTCCCCTGCATTGGCAGGCGGACTCTCAACCACTGCGCCACCAGGGAAGCCCCTGTGCACTAATTTTTAATTAAATATGTTGGATTAGAGAAAGACAAACATCATATGATGTCACTTGTATGTGGAATCTAAAAAAAGGGTACAAATGAACTTATCCACAAAACAGAAATAGAGTCAAAGACATAGAAAACAAACTTATGGTTACCAGGGGGTAAGTGGGGGGAAGGATACATTGGGAGATTGGGATTGACATAAACACACTACTATATATAAAATAGATAACTAATAAGGACCTACTGTATAGCACAGGGAACTCTACTCAGTACTCTGTAATGACCTATATGGGAAAAGAATCTAAAAAAAGAGTGGATATATGTATATGTATAACAGATTCACTTTGCTGTACACCTGAAAGTAACACAACATTGTAAATCAACTGTACTCCAATAAAAAAAAATGTTGGATTATGACAAAAGAAATGATGTTTAGCTTATCTAACTCCCAGCTTCAACCCAAATGATAACCTGGCATAATCAAAAGTCTTTTAAAAAGTAAACTTTGTGTTTTTAACTGTAAATCACTCTACCTTCTAGCTCTCTTTGGTATCAGAAATAGGAGGGCAGGAAGCACTACTTGAAATTAGTGTTTCCCAGGTGAAGAAAACCTTTTAAAAACCTATTTAAACCTACTTAGAGTAGATCAAGAATTCACACGAGTACAGCCAACGTTTTAGGGAATTGTATCCACACTCACACTGTTAACTGAACCAAGCTCAAAGTCATTTGCCCTTCTTCCTATCACACATTAGACAAGCTTTTGATAGAGGATTAAAGAATATTAAGAGCGCCTGTAGACAACATGGAGCTTTATGGTTCTTAATGATATTTTATTAGCTTTGAATTGTAAAATCATTTTTGGTTCCATTTTCTGGCCACACAAGAATAAGAACCCCACTGTAGACGTGACTGCCTCTCTGTGGCAGGTGGAGGTGGGGAATGACTGCAGGGCAGCTGGAGGGAACGTTCTGGGGTGATGGGAATGTCCTGAATCTTGATTGGGGTGATGGTTACATTGGTGAATATGACTGTCCTGTTCATCCAGCAGTACAATTAAGATATGGGCATTTTATTGTATGTAAATTATACCTAAAATACTGCTGTAGAAAAATTATTTGAAAATTAAGTAAAATCAATTGATTCAAAACATCTTGTTTCTTTAAGAATTGCATTTGCTTAGAGTTTCCATATGATCCAGCAATCCCACCCTTGGGTATATCTCCCTCCTGGGCATATACCCAGACAAAACTATAATTTGAAAAGATACATGCATCCCTATGTTCATAGGAGCACTATTTACAATAGCCAAGACATGGAAACAACCTAAATGTCCATTGACAGCAGATGAATGAATAAAGAAGATGTGGTATACACACACACACACACACACACACACACTGGAATACTATTCAGCCATATAAAAGGACATTTTTGCCATTAGCAACCACATGGATGGACCTAGAGGGTGTTATGCTCAGTGAAGTAAGTCAGACAGAGAAAGACAAATACTGTATGCTGTCACTTATATGTGGAATCTAAGAAATAAAACAAACTAGTGAATATAACGAAAAAGAAACAGACTCACAGATACAAAGAACAAACTAGTGGTTATCATTATCAGCTATAAAAAGAATGAAATAATGCTATTTGCAGCAACATGGATGGACCTAGAAATTATCATACTAAGCAAAATAAGTCAAAAAGAGAAAGACAAATATCATATGATATCACTTATATGTGGAATCTAAAATATGGCACAAATGAACATATCTATGAAAGAGAAACAGACTCACAGACATAGAGAACAGACTTGTAGTCGCCAAGGGGAGGGAGGGTGGGGAAGGGATGGAGTGGGAGTTTGGGATTAGCAGATGCCAACGAGTATATATAGGATGGATAAACAACAAGGTCCTACTGTGTAGCACAGGGAACTATATTCAATATCCTGTGATAAACCATAAGGGAAAAGAATATTTTTAAAAAAAGAATGTATATATATGTATAATTGAATCACTTTGCTGTACAGGAGTAATTAACACAACATTGTAAATCAACGATATTTCAATAAAATAAAAAAAAGTTCATTTACTTACTAGGAGTTCTTTTGGGAAGTGGAGGAGAAAATGTCCAGACTGAAAGTATACAATGAAAGTAGAATTTTCACTTTTAAATGCCGCATAGGTAAAAGCATTTCCAGCTGGGCAGTTGGGATACAACTGAACTTGTCAGAGAAGTAGTGGTTAGTAACTTAAAAATGAGAATAAAAAAGCTTTGGTGTAATAAATAGCCAAAAGGGTTATTGTTTCTGGATTTTGGCAGCTTGGTCATTTTGTGTAAAGCACCCTACTTTATTATGAATTATATTTTTAAAAAGTCCAAATTTAGGCTATTTACAACCTTTACGTTTGTTTTTCTTTAGTGCATTTTGAACCTATCGAGAAACTTGTCATTTGAAAATAATATGTGATGTCTGCTCTCAAAATCAGGTCATATTTCTGTGTCCTTTTTTCAGGATATAAATCTAGGTAATGAGAACACTGCCAGCAAGTCATTCAAATCCATGACGTTTAGTCTGGTTTTGATCTTGTTACAATGTAGCTTCTGACTCAGTAGGGCTGGGTGGGACCTGAGACTCTGCATTTCCAGGCTGCTCTTCCAGGGACTACATTTTGGGTAGCCAGGGCCTAAGTCATGGATCCTGAGCCAGACTCAATCAGTTAGGCTTTCGATAGAGAGAGCTGAATAGAACAATGACAAAACAAATAACAATAAAGGCAGAAGAGTTGATTCTCTCACATAAGTGAAGTCCAGAAGTAGCCAGTCCAGAGTAAATACGGCAGTTCCATGAAGTCATTAGGGACTCAGCTCTTAGCCTTTTGCTTCATTTCCTAGTGGTGGGTTCCATGTTGGTGGACCAACATGGTCCAGGTTGGCTGCTGGAACTTCTGGTTCCAGAAGGGAGAAGGCATAAAAGACCTGTCTCTAAGCTGAGCCAGGCTCCACAGGGCAGCCTTTCC